GCGACCGTGAAGGGCGGAGACGTAGCAATTTACGTCCGCGGTGGAATCCCATTCACCCCCCTGACCGGACGCCCACTCGCCCCCTCAGACGACAGTACTGAGGTGTGCGGCGTGCGCATACTCGGCAAATCACCGATCTCCATCTTCAACATCTACAGGCCGCCCATCCGTCGGTCTCCAACGGATGATCGCGAAGACAACTTCGACCCTGCAGCCCTCCCCTCCGACGAAGACGCCATCATCCTCGGTGACTTGAACGCTCACCACCCCCTCTGGGACTCCGGGTGCGACACTGCAGACGACGTCGGGAATCGGGTGGCGGACTGGCTCGACTCCGTGGGCTGGTCCCCGCTCAACTCAGGGGAGCCGACTCACTCCTCCTACCGGTCCGGGGGGAGCTCGGCACCCGACGTAGCGGTATGCAGCCGCGCCCTGGCCCGGAGGTCCACGTGGAGAGTGGGCCCGGACCTGGGGAGCGATCACCTTCCAATGCTGGTTTCCATCAGGACCACTCCTCGGCCGGAGCCGATTACGCGGAAGCCCCAATGGTCCTTCGGCAAGGCCGACTGGGTGGCGTTCAAGGCGGACTGCGAGGCGACCCTTCTCAGGGCGGAGCCTCTGCATGCCACCGCTCAAGAGCTCACCACCCGGTTCACCGAGGCCATCATGTCAGCGAGCCGCAAGTACATCCCCCGCGGCGCAAGGAAGGTTGTGAAGCCCTGGGCTCTGGACCCCGAGTTGCAGCAGGCGGTGGCGGAGCGTCGCGAGGCGCGCCGGGCACTCCGTCCCGGTGACCCGGCCACCAGGGACCGCTGGGTGGCGGCGAAGCGGCGCGCGGCGGAGACGGAGAAACGAGTCTCCCAGGCACACTTCCGGAACTTCGTTGAGACCACCCTCAACAAACCCGCAAGCCTGGGCAGAGTCACGAAGATCCTCAAGAAGTGGGAGGGCGCCAGCGACGAACACCGACCCGGACAGGCGATGACTGAAGGAGACCGCCTCCTGGTCACAGACAGCGAGAAAGCGGAAGCGTTCAACGCCACCTACGCCCACGTCTCGCGCCAAGTGAGGTCGGCCAAGGTGGACAGAGCGGCCAAGAGGAGACTGCGCGAACTCCAGTCCCCGCAATGCAAGGAGTGCGGTAACCACCGCACGGGCTGCTGCGCGCCATTCTCCGAATCGGAACTCTCCCACCAACTTCAACGCCTTCATCGAAGAAAAGCTCCGGGTCCAGACGGCGTCTGCAACGAGCACCTCACTCACCTGGGTCCGGTCGCTCGCCGAGCGCTGCTCAGAGCCATCAACGCGTCCTGGCTGGAGAGCTCGGTGCCGAGGGAGTGGAGGCAGGCCCGGATTATCCCCATCCCGAAGGCGGGGAAGGACAAGCAACGAATCGCCAGCTACCGCCCCATCGCGCTGACGAGCCATCTCAGCAAGCTCGTCGAGAGGCTGATTCTAGCCAGACTTCGGCACCTCGTCGACCGTGACAGCCTGGTCCCCCCAGAACAGGTGGGATTTCGAGAGAGGCGGTCGGTGGAAGACAGCATCGGCCGCCTCGTACAACAGGTTCAAGACGGATGGAACGCACCGAAGTCTCGCGGCAAGAACCCCCCTGACGGTACCTGCGCTCAGAAGTATGTCCTCCTGGCCTTCGACTTTGCCCGAGCCTACGACACGGTCGACCACCGACTCCTCAGGGTCCGCCTGATGGAAATGGGGATCCCGCGCTGCTTCTACGCCTGGACCTGGCAGTATCTAAGAGACCGGCGAGCGCGAGTGGAGTTCCAGAGCGCAACTAGCGGCGAGCGGGTGTACAGGGCGGGCCTGCCTCAGGGCAGCGTCCTGTCCCCGGCCCTGTTCTTGTTATGGGCCGCCCCACTCGCCGCGGAACTCCAGAAGACCCCTGGCACCACGGCGTTCCTCTATGCCGACGACACTGCGGCCCTGTGCTCGGGCAACAACATCGAGGTCGCCAAACTACGTGCACAACAGGCAGCGGACGCGCTCGTCAAGTGGGCCCGCGCTTCCAAGATGGTGGTTGCCGGCCAGAAGACTCAGGCGCTGGTCCTGTCGCAGTGGGCCCGGGACGCCGTCAACTGCTCCGTCCAAGTGGCAGGGGAGACGGTCGTCGCGGGCGACCAGCTGAAGCTGCTTGGAGTCACACTGGACCGACTGCTCCACTTCGGAGCCCACTGTCGCAGCCTCCGCCAGCGCGTGCGACCTCGAACCAACCAACTCAGACTGCTGACCGGGCGTGAGTGGGGGCTGGAAGAGCGCCAGCTGCGCATCGTCGCCTCCGGCTACATCCGCGGCGCACTGGAACACGCCGCCGCCGCCTGGCTCCCAGCTGCGTCACCGTCCCATATCATGCTGCTGGAGAGGGAGATGCGCGAGGCCGCCAGAGTGGTAACCGGCTGCCCCCGGTCCACGCCAGCACACGCCGTAATGGCGGAGGCGGGCCTCGCCCCGGTGGCCGAGCGACGCACGGCCCTGGCGGCGCGCCTACTGGCCAAGGCGCGCGCCCTCCCGGCTGGAGACCCGCTGCGGAAGGTGGCGGAGAGCCAGGTCCCCACCCGCCTCAGCACCGTGACAGGGTGGAGAGGAGTGGGCGAGGAGACATGGAGAGCGGCGGGCATCTGCCCTCCGATCGAGCCCATCCTCCCCCTGCCGGATCCACCATGGGAACCGTCACCAACGGTTTCCTTCAGCCTCGACATAGGAGCCGCCATCCCAACCGCGGCCAGCGACACCTGGAAGAGAAATGCGGCATCCCAGCACCTGGCGGCGCTCCCGCGGTGCGCCACCTGGGTGTGGACCGACGGCTCGGCCACCGACGGCGTCCTGAACGGTGGCGCCGGAGCCCTGATCGTGTGGCCGGACGGAGAGGAGCGATCGGTCCGCGCCCCGGCGGGCCGCCTGTGTTCAAGCTTCCGGGCTGAAATGGTCGCCCTCCGGACCGCCCTCTCGTTCCTTCTGGAGAATCCGCTTCACGCAGACGACCCCGTAGTAATCTGCACAGACTCACAGTCCGCCCTCGCCGCACTCCGAGAGGGCCCGGCCGCCCAGCACTCCCCGCTGGGAGGGGCCATCTGGAGAGCCCTCCGGGGCCTGACGGCGGGAGGCCGGCAGGTCCACCTGCAATGGGTGCCCTCGCACTGCGGACTGGAGGGGAATGAGAGGGCGGACTCGATCGCCAAGGAGGCCAGCAATCTCGCCCAGGACCAAGCCCCCATCGACGTCCAGACGGCCCACCGGGCCGCCGCCAGAGTGGCGAGGGCCCGGACCATCCGAGCCTGGCCGGCCGGCTGGTTCCGCCGACTGACCGGGGACCGCCTCCCGCCGGCCGTGGCCGGCGGAGACCGGTCGGCGGCGGTGGACGTACACCAGCTCCGCGCCGGCCACTGGACCAGCTCTACACAGTGGCGCCACAGAGTCGGGCTGGCGCCCTCCCGGCTGGCGGGGTGCGAGCAGTGTGACGATCAACACTGCAGGGCTGCGCTCTGCCCCGTCTGCCGGGAGGAGGCGGACACCCCCCAGCATGTCCTCCTGCGCTGCCCGGCCCTGATGGCCACCCGACACCGACTGCTGGGATCCATCAACCCCGACCTTGAAGAGGTGCGGAGCGGCGCCATCGTGGCGGCCCTGGGGGCCGCCCACAGGTCCCTACAGAGCCGGACGGCTACGTCTCAGCTGTGAGACGGAGGGACCAACAACAACAACAACAACAGCTGACGTCACACTTGTGGTAGTGTTGGAGCAATGGGCCTGTTGATGTTTCCATGGAAACCCAATTTGACACGTGTAAAAGCAGCGTGCTGCTATCACGGGTGAAACAGGGCCAGGGTCGCGGTTGTTTTCGCCGCTCGCCCTAGTCGAGATGCAAAGTTAATAGTCACACGAAGCTTATTTAGGGCCAGCCAAACCAGTCTAGTCTGGAGTTACTGTCAAATGTATGCATATAGATGAAAGTAAAAGCCAAAAGGTTTTGTAGAATCGATTAATTTCAAAGTCGTATATTCAGAGGCCCCAAATAAACTTCGTGCGACTATCAACTTTGCATCTCGAATGGGCCGAGCGGCGAAAACAACCGCGGCTCTGAGAGGGTCCCGAAAGGCTAAGCGCTAGACGGGGCTAACTCACCCGGAGAATAAAACGCCGGGACCAGAAAGCGGCCTCATTTCCAGCACTGCTGCAGCGTTCTCCCAAAGAGTGGCTTGAATACTGACTCAGACCTTGTTGCGGCATTGACGCGAGGCCGCACAATGAACTCCCTGGGTCAGAGAGCTGGCGTCCGAGGGCAGGGCAGTCGCTTGTCTCGCCAGGTCGTCCGCGCTCTCATTCCCGTCGATCCCGCAGTGGGCAGGAGCCTGAAACCCACTGCAGGATTACTTCACGATGCTCTGCGATGTTTAACAAGGTCTTCCTTACCTATCTCCGCGCCCAGGGTGGAAGCATCACCTGCAGGGCGGACGCTCCTCCGCTGAACAGACTCAGAATGGTTTGCGAGTCAGAACATGCGACGACCGTGGAGAGGGATGTCTCGTTCCGCACCGTCTCCAGACTGCCCGCAGGGCGAAACTGATGGTAGATTGACTGGTGTGTCGTAAAATTCGGTGACTGCCTTCCGCCAAAAAATTATGCGGCTGCCCTGCACCGAAAAGTTCAGTGGCCGCCATGCACTGAATTCGGCGTATGCGAAGTTACGCCGGACGGACCCTGAAATTTTCGGCGCAATTCCGTCACTATGCCGGACATATTCCGCATAAGGTGTATTTTTTTCAGTCCGGAACTGAGGACTCTCGTTGAAGCTAATCTAGGATGGAGTATCTGATTCGGTTCCAGTGATCATCCAGTCTGGTCTTGAACTGGTTGAGAGTGGATACCAGGATCACAGAAGGAACCAAATCAGAACCAAACTGAACAAACCAGAACAGAACAAACCACACCACCTCTCACGAACTAACCAATTTCTGTCTCCCCCTGCTCCACAGCCCTCCAGAATGGACTCTCAGAAGTTCTGCCTCAAGTGGGACGGGTTCCAGGGCAGCGTTACGTCCGTGTTTGACCAGCTCCGCTCTGGAGGAGAGCTGCTGGATGTCACGCTCTGCTGTGAGGGACAGCGTGTCCGGGCCCACAGGATGATGCTGTCTGCCTGCAATCTGTACCTCAGGGAACTGCTCAAGGTGGGTGATGGGAAATGTACCTGGCGTCCTAGAGGGTGATAGGGGGCTGATGATAGTGTAAATGAAATGCCAGGTTGACTTATAATCATGATTGTAGTCACTATAGTTCATTGAGTTGAGTTCTTAACCCACTCTAGGGCTACCAAAATTTAATGTGGACATGCATTTCCATTTATTAATATGCTTTTCCTACTCAGAAGTGTCCTGATGAAACAGGGAATTGAAAATATAAAGATTAACATGACATCTATAACTTTCCTACATAACGGGGTATGTCTAAAGCACAGCACGAGCCGGGCAGTAAAACTATGACCAAGAAACTGTCGTTGTCAAAATGCCATGTTATTTGATAGGCCGGGCAGGAAACAAAAGTTTACTGCCCGGGTTTACTGCCCAGGGCAATGACCTCTAAACTACAGTTTATCACACTAGCCCAGAGGTATAATTGATAAGGAATGTATAATTGGCATCATTATTGCATGATATTTGCCGCGTAAAATTAGAAAACTAACATTTTTTTGGTAAAAAAATATCTGCTCTGCTTATCAAGGGTTTTGAAATGCTTTGTATTGGTTACAAAGCCGAATTTATGACAAGATATGCTCCTATTAATCGAAATCCGTTATCGCTTGTTTCTTATCTTCGTTTGATATGTCCAGTGATACCTTGGGCCTAAGTTATTGCGTTATTATTTGACAGTTGTAGTCCTTTCCTCGAAACAATCATGTAAAATATGGAAAATATAATGTATTTCACGAAAGTTTAGCCATAGGTCATCAACAAAGTACGATTGCAAAAATAAAGAAAAGATTCTTGCAAGAGCACTGGAAAATTCACGTTTAATCACTAGGAATATTATACATTCTACCTTCTTCTTGTTCTTATGTCGTGGCAAATTATTCATGTATGATGTTCCTAGGATATCCAATTGTTGTGCCATTCTGAGTTGATATTTTCAGACGCGATTCTTTTTGAAGTGAGGTATTTTGACGCATTTTCTTCTATAAATTTCCTTCAAATCTTTATCCACAGCAGTAGCGCAATCACTGTTTGGAAATTATGGACAAAGCAATTGTATAAAAGTGTCACCAAAACCTGTCGAAACTACTTAGCAGTTATGCGGCATGTAGGAAAAATCTTACTGACCTCAGCCGTACGAAATTATTTGGAAACTCGGTTTGCAAAATTTGACTCTGGCCCTTGTGCTTCGCACTCGGGCCTACGTCGTCAATTTTGCAAACCTCGTTTCCAAATAATTTCGTCGGCCCGGTCAGTAATATATAGTATTGAACAATGTGCAGTGTGCACCCAATACTGCTTCCTTGATTGCCATACTTATTTTATGCACTAGAAAGGGAAGTGTCATGCATTCCTTTTTCACCCTCATTCATTGACATTTGTTGCATGCATAATATGTGTTTACAATTTGACTGAAAAACCTTGAATACAATGATAAGGTTTTGTTATTGCCTACATATTTGATTATGATAGCAGTGGCCTTTGGTTATAATACCTACGAACAGGCATCGGTAGGATTGTGATTGCAGGATTGCAAAATCCTGATTGCATTCCTTTTTGGTGGATTGCACCTGGATTTGAAATCCATTCCAAAAAACAGGATTTGATTGCGGATTGGATTGCATCATACTTCCAATTTTTGCAATCCAATCCGGATTTTGTTTGATTAGTGCTTTGAAATGGTTTGTTGCGATTGAAAATTGTGAGATCGGCTTCATCGGCTTAATGTACTTTGCTATCAAGGGCTTTACATCGAAACTTGAAATAATTTAAACGCTTTTAATTTAAATGCTCAAAATAATATACGCTGACGAACTACATAGGAAGGGCAAAATTACGTATTTGAGGGCGAGTTTTAGAAATATAAAACACTGGTTGGGTAGAGGTTTAAATGTGGGGGTGTTTGAGGCAAAAAATATTTCCAATAAAATACCTGAGCCTTAGATAGGAATTACTCGCAAGACTAGGCACTAGAAATGGGTGATTTGGGGATGGAGGCACGGCCCTATGCCCCCCTCCCTCCCCCAGATCCACTAGTGCACATAATAATACAACAGGATTGCAAAAAAGGATTGCGGATTTGATCACAATCCAAGTGAAAAAAGGGGATTGCGGGTAAGAATGCAATCCACTTCGACACTAGGAATGTGGATTGGTAATGCAATCCTTTCAAAAGGGATTTTACCGATGCCTGCCTACGAAATACCTAAAAGGTTTTAAAGTGTAATTGTAGTTTTGCATTGAAGTTTAAACAACATGTTGTAAATCTAGCAGAGGAATGCATTCTCTTCACAGGCATCCTGAATAACTTTAATAGCGATGTGGAACGTCAAACTAACAAATACAAATGACGCTTGTTTAGTAAAACGAGAGCCGAACGTTCCTTCCGTGGGCGGTCATGCGGGCCGAGAGTGCCGAGTCTGCAAGTCAATAAGGGTCATTTCACGCTTCTCTGTGTGGCTGACTATGTTCTTGCAGGTAGTGGTCTTGCACCTGCAGCTCAGTGCTCACCCATAATGATACTCTATCAAGTAGTACCTATAGCCGTAAAAACACTGACGCTGATTCCCCTTCCCTGGCAGGCTCGGCGGCTTATTCTCGGAGCTCCTTACCGGTGACGGAGGAGAGTCCTCTTCGCCATTGCGAGAACTCACTGAACTACCTTCTCGCCCCGCGCCATCTGCGCCGTCCTCACCGCCGGCCGATCCGACCAACGAGAACGACACAGACGCCCTCCGGCACTGCTGGCAGAGGAAACTGAAGGAGAGCGTCGCTGCCAGACTACCCGGTGAGTGTGGATTCGAATCCCGAGCGGGGCGGAACTTTTAGGTGCGATTTTAGATTAGATATTTAGACACCACCGGTCTAGATTACCCATATGTTTGGCCAGGTGATAGTGGTGGTAGAAAAGGCAGTTATAGGTATCTGTAGTGCACTGAACTGGCCACACCACTGTGGTAATTTAGAGTAGAATTGTTTTTGTTTGCTGTTTTTTTTTTTAATGAACTTAAATTTGACCGGCGTTTTTGAAATCAGGAATTTCATAGGCTCTTTTTGATTTTTTGAATTTTCAGCATTCTGGATAGTTAATAGTTGTTTTTTTTGGTTATTGATGTGTAAATAAAATGTGCTAAATCATTTTGAGCTAGGTACATGAGATTGGCGAGAATTACTTATAGGAATTATTGCTACGGGCGTCTGCGATCTCCCGCGCCCTGTTTCACGGCCGCTGCTAGCGCGCTGCCAGCACACGAGTCAAACTGGGTTTCCATGGAGACATCAACAAACTCGTATCTCCAACATTACCGCAATATGTGACGTCAGCTCGCGAAATGCGCTATCAGCGTGGTAGCAGCGTACAGTGAAACACCGCCGGTATTGGGGTGCCTGGCGCCGCCGCTGCCGCGTGGCCCGGGGCGGGGTCAGCGGCTGGCAGTCGAGGCACGGGCGGCGCGGCGGCCCGGCAGAGGCGTGTAGACGGCTGAGGAAAGCGGCCCTCTCCCCTGGACTTTTGAGATTTTCCCTCAATATTAGTGAACGCAGTATTCGTATTCGTCCTGAACTCGGTATTCGTTCCCAGTACATTCAATGCCTGAAGTATTATGTAATTGGCTCCCGCAACATAATTATCTACCTCTTTTTTTTGCGTAGCATGGTGGTTCCATACGCTCAGACTTCACCCGACTGACGCTGCCCTCTATTCTCCGACAGAGGACACCTGCCTGCACCAGCCGCCGTCCCGGTACATTTTCCCCGGAGCGGGGGTGCTTGTCGATCCTGACGACTCTGACAGCGACAGAGACTCGCTGGATTCGGACCGCGGCAGTGACGATGAGGTGAGTTAGTGCTGGAGGGTGGGTTCGATTCCAGCCACGGGAAATTGTATTTTTCGGTTTTCCATATTATTTGTGTATTGTTACACTTGCATGGATCAGCGTCCTTAATTGCTTTCGTTGATATCAAATTTCGACTTCAAAGTGCGGAGCTGCTTCAAAACTGCTTTCTTTCGGCACATTGTGTCGCAACTCAGCAATAGCTTCGCATCTTATAATATTACAGGTTTCCTATAAATATTTTATATTTATAAACATCAAGGCGAGTCGAGTCAAGGCGAGTCGAGTCAAGGCGAGTCAATCATAGGTAACCAATATTCATTCTAGGATGTGTTACCACACATCATCTAGGAGCACATCAGGGCACTAACACCGCGTCCCTTCTCTTTCTCCAGTCTCCGACTGCTGAGGGCGACCATCCGAACAACTCCACGGATACTCCGGAGACGGCAGTCACTCCCCCGCACACCGACTCCTGTCCTCCAACGCCTCCTGGACGAATTACAACCTCTGGAGCATCATTAGGAGCATCGGGAACGTCTTCTTCATCACCTGCTGAGGAGCAACCCTCATCTACACCGGCGGTGAAGCCTTCCTCGACATCTGATATCGAGATGGAGCCAGAAACGGTGGGTTCGTCAGGCTCAGCCCTGAAAAAGCCGATCAGTGAAACACTAGGTGGAGAGGAGGGGAGCGGTGTGAAGAGACCAGCGTTCGGTGGCATGGGTGAGCCTGGCGTGTCTCCCGCCACCGCCAAAACCGCCCCCGCCACCGCCGCCGCTGGAGACAGTGGCAGCGCGCAGAGTGCGTCGGAAAATACCGCCGCAGCTGAGGCGATCAGCTAATCTACCGCTTCGGGATTCGGTATCAGGGGATTCAGTAGAACACACAATGGTGATGTCAGTTCGGTGAAGGTGTTCACTCACACCATTGCTCATAATGTTAGACAATTGACCACAGATGCTATTTTCATACAGAGTCAGCGCGATATGCGCTATCTATTTGTGTCTAGTTGACTGATGTGCTTAGACTGCAGATTGGCCGAGATAGGGAGTGCCGTGTGAAATGTGGCCAGGGAGTGGAATTTGGGAACTCAATTAAAGCGATTCCTATGTTAGGGATCATGTGAGCTATTTTGGAGCTATGAGCCAATGGTGAGCCTATTTAGGACTGACATCTTAGGAGTTAAACGGAACGGAACGAGCCAGTGGCTAGCTTTGAATAGTTTTAAGCCATTGGTGAGCTAATTTGGAGCTCGGAGCTCAGGATGAGCTAATTGGAGATTTAGGAGGATGAGCTAATTTGAGCTATCTGAACCAGTGGTGAGCTAAGTAATCCCATCTTTTGGCGTGTAGCCGAACAGTCGCTCCCCAAATAGGTACCTCATTCTATTCGTGACGTCTTTTGATGAAACACCAGCGGTTTCTTGTATTCAGTGCCAGATCCGTCAGGAGCGCGCTCATCTTCTGCGTGACGCCGTCCGGCGATCCTCGGATCCCACCTGGGCAGGAGTAGACGTCGTTTCCCCCGACCCAGACCAACACCGTACCTAGGCGCCGACCCTCTGGTAGTTTTCCTACGACCCAAACCGACACCGGGCCCAGGCGCCGGCCCTGTGCTCGTGCGGCCTCCGCCCAAGTCAGTAGCTGCTAACGGAGCCAGTCGAGTCCCCCGTCCACGCCAGGCCGTCCCGCGCCGCTACGGTAAGGTGGTGTGGCGGACTCACCTCGAAGCCAGCCCGATGGACCACGGAGTCCTCCACTACCAGGGCAGCTACGCCGGCGTCTGGGGGAGACTCCGGCGCTTCAGCAACCACTGGGGACGGTAGCAGTGGCGGCGCTGCCGCCGACACCATCAGGCATGATCTGACGTCCCACCGACCGCGCCAGTCTTAGAAGAGACCCGTAGAGGAGGGAAATGGGCGGAGGAAGGGCTCTCGGGTGCAAATCGCAACCAACCCAACGGACGTACCTTGTGAGTCCAACAGTCTTCTTTTTTACGCTCAAAGAACCCTTTCTGCGCCACTGAACTGGCGTCTGACGCAGTACGGTGGAAGTCAGCACTGTATCATTCTTGGTGTAAATACGGAAACATAGTAGCCTGCAACAAAATAGATGTTACTTTTCCGTGGCCGGTTGTATGAAGGCACCAGGGCCTCTTTTCCATCATTTGGTACGAGCGATCCCTCAGTCATTGTCTGCTCTGAGAGGACCTGGCTGAGTCTGTCTCTTGAGGTGGCTCGTACGTTGACTTGTCTTTACCCCGACCGTCCGTCATTGTACTTGCGGTTCGTCGGATTTACATATTTAGTGTTGGACGGTGAGCTGAAGTTCTCGTCATGTCATCTGACACACGAGTCACCAGACGTTGTGGTGGTATTTCAGCTGGAACATTCAGTGTTGGCACTCTTGTAGAGAATATGTGGCCCGTTGGAGGGCTGGGTTATTTGGCCGATTCAACTTTGATTTCAGTACATTACAAGTGAATTGGCGGATCAGCGGAACAAACTGTACGCTCCTGGGTACCCCGAACCTACGGGGTGTCATCCCGTGCCGCCGCTGGTGGAAAATCCACCTCCAGGTGACAGCCGTCGAGCTGGTTTTCTGCCGGCCACCACCCGCGCACAAGAATGCAGGGCACGTGGTCAGTACCGCCGTCTGTAACATCACGAGATGACTTGACCTTGACTGCCGGTCCGGCGGTGCTGATTTGTCCTTCTATTATAACTCGACCAAATTCACAAATTCAAATGTGCACCATTACCTGGTTGTATGCCCCTCTCTTTGAACTAAAAGTACACGAAGTTGGCTACGTCAGGATGTGGATGCGACGGTGACTGTTGTTGCAGTTGGCCTTTGGATGCTTTCCGGAACATCGGAGGCAGCATGGTTCCACCACCGTCCAGCACCGCCTAGCACTGTGTCCGCACTTTCAGCAGTGCTGGCACAGCAGCGGGCTGGGTATCCACGGTCGGAGCTGGAGATCTTGGAATCCCGCTCGGATGGTCTTTGGGATCGCGTTTCCAATGAAGGAGAGGCGCAACCCTGGGTTTGGCCGTCCATCTTTAGAACGGAGTCGGCGTTCCGTTCCCCGACCACGTCCTGGGGTCGGAGTTAAGACCTCCTCAGGGACTTTTGCCAGGGAATGTGCCTGTGTCAGAGCTTCCATGATATTCTGTCGGGTGGCTGGTTCGCAGGTCACCGGTTCTTCTATGAAGCGATCTAGTCGGGGCAGAGTATCTGCTTGTTCGGGGCTGAAGGCGGTGATCAGGAGCGCGCCAGATGACATGGACTTCGCAGCCTGCACCTCCCCAATCAGGGTGCGGATTTCCCCAGCGATCAGGAAGGGACTGACCCCGGTGAGAGATGCGGCCGTTTTGATGCCAAACGAGGATGCGGGTGTACCTCGTCGGTTCAGCTGCTTCGCTGTCCATGGCTCACTTCTGAGGAGCGACCCTGTGTCCCGCCGATGCACATGTGAAATATTGGCCCCACCAACCTTTCTGGGATAGCAGAGCTGTCGGGCAACTCAATGTCAGCCATGATCCTCCTTGGCCCTCCTTGGCTTCATTAGGCACATGATCAGCGCATCCTCTGGCTGAAGAGGACACCATTTGCTACAGCGGGGATCATAGTCTAGCTCGTATGCAGCGGGTCCTAGCAGGTGAAAGACGATGGTGGCCCAGCGTCCGCCGGGTAGGCTGCGCGCGCTGCTCGCTGCAGCAGCGGCGGCCAGCCGATCGGCCCGCCGGCCGATACGCGGTATCGAATCGTCATATTCTCCCCGCCAAATGTGGGAATTTACAAGTTGACACATTGAAAAGAGCAATGTCACTAGTCCTGACACATAGACCACTCGGGAACCCTCACTTCTGGCCCCGGCACTCGTTATGGGCTGGCGGCTGTCGTCTGCACCCATATGGGAAGCTCCGGGGCGTCGACCGTCCCGTGACCCCCTGAGGAGAGGTGAGTCGGGTCCCTCCGGAGCCAGGCGGCACACTGAGCCGAGGAAGCACACATGTTGCTGTTTGTGAGTGGACTGGCGGACCAGCGGAGCAAACCGCATGCTCCTGGGTACACCGAAGTCATCCCGTGCCGCCGCTAGTGGAAAGTCCACCTCCAGGTGACAGCCGTCGAGCTGGTATTCTGCCGGCCACCACCCGCGCACAAGGATACAAGGCACGTGGTCAGTACCACCGTCTCTAACATCACCAGATGACTTGACGTTGACCGCCGGTCCGGCGGTGCTGATTTGTCCGTCTATTATAACCCGACAAAATTCCGGCATGAGCCTGCGCATTGAGCGGCGCCAGCACCAAGAGAGCGCGCGCCCGGGCCAGCGCCAGCATTCGAGCCGGTGCCGGAGGCGGCGAGGTCGGCACGGGAATCACGAGCGTCGGGATATGAATCAACAGTCCCGCCGGCAACGGAAGGGGCACTATAGTACTAAAGTACTTTTTATAGTACTATAGTACTATAGTACTGGCGTACTATACTATTTTTTATACAGGGTGTCCCAGAAGTCTTGAAGCTTTTTTATTTTTGTCGTGTGACCTTGCTATGCCACCGATTAAGGCAAATGATGCCTCAAACGAAAGAGAAAGAACTGAAATTTTGTATTTTCATGCGTAGAGCACCACTTTAGTCAGGTGGCCCCCGTTGTGAGTCGCACAAGATTGAGCACGAGAGATCACGTTCTTCGCTGCCGCCAAGATCTCCCGGTTTGCGAAACACCGGTGTCGCCATGCCCGTTTCTTGTCAGCTTCAGAGTCTTATTCCCTGAAGCGAGCGACATAATATTAGCGACATATATTTGCGACGGGTTGATATTTGTTTTAGCCCCATAATAATGCGACGAATCAAAGGATTACAACGGGCTGTTGCTTAGCGTGCTCAAGCAGCTGAGCCTTATTTCCGTAATGGATGCGTGCAAACATGTCAGGAGACTTTCTGATCAGTAAATCATTATGTTGCTAATCTTTTCTCGGAGATCCAATACTCTGTTTCCTGGCTTGCTTCATGAAATAAGGCTCTGAAGCTGACCAGAAACGGGCATGGCGACACCGGTGTTTCGCAAACCGGGAGATCTTGGCGGCAGCGAAGAACGTGATCTCTCGTGCTCAATCTTGTGCGACTCACAACGGGGGCCACCTGACTAAAGTGGTGCTCTACGCATGAAAATACAAAATTTCAGTTCATTCTCTTTCGTTTAAGGCGTCATTTGCCTTAATCGGTGGCATAGCAAGGTCACACGACACAAATAAAAAAGCTTCAAGACTTCTGGGACACCCTGTAGTACTGGCGCTCGTGGCGGCGGTACAGCGCGGGCGCCCGGACCAGGGCCGGCAACGGTGCCTGAACTCGCATCAGCACCGGAGACCAGCGCGCAGGCAGCGCCGGTGGTACCCCTTGGGTGACGGGGTTTATTGCATCTGACTCCCGGAGGAAGCGGGAGCCGTAGAAGACTCGGCTCTTCCTCCGGACTGCACGTTTTTTGACCGGTAAGCAGGTTAACTTAATGTGATCCTTCTTGCCGCAAGTGTGGCAAGTAATCGCCACGTCCCATGTGGATTGTCCATCATGGTGATACATGCACACATGCATACATTACATAATACATGCATATTGCATACATATATGCATGGATACATACATACATCCATACAAGTAGCGTAGCCGTACCAGCATGCAGCCCCAATACGACCATTTTTGCCGCATGCGAAACAGGGGCCGCTGGGTTCCTGCACAGAGGATGGCCATGACCGTACGCTCCTGGGTACTCCAAACCTACGGGGTGTCATCCCGTGCCGCCGCTGGTGGAAAATCCACCTCCAGGTGACAGCCGTCGAGCTGGTTTTCTGCCGGCCACCACCCGCGCACAAGAGTACAGGGCACGTGGTCAGTACCGCCGTCTGTAACATCACGAGATGACTTGAGGTTGACCGCCGGTCTGACGGTGCTGATTTGTCCGTCTATTATAACCCGACAAAATTCCAGCAGGAGAGGCTTGGTGTAGGCCGCCTACACCAAGCCTACACTCGGCTTGGTGTAGGCGGCCGACTTGGTGTAGTCGGCCGCCTACACCAAGCCGACTATCAGCAGCCTTCGAAGCCGGCGTCGCACGACCCCCGCCTGGAGAAGGCCTGCCGCCTCGTCCAGGGCTTCCACCACTGACGTTCAACGCATTCACCCTGTGATTGCCAGCTCGTCTATCACGCACGTCACTTGATCTGGAGGCAGAACCCCCCAGATCACCACTGGCACCGACACCGAACACCGGGTTCTTCAGGATCCTGAGCTCCCTCTCAAGGAAACTAACCAAATCTCTGAAGCCCACGAAGCCACACCCTGCTCTCGACCCATCAGCATATCCGCCTCTCGGAGCCATCTGTCTCTGAGGAAGTTGGGGAGTTTCTGCACCACCTCACGCAAAGTCCGCGGGTGCTCTAGCTCCCCCATGCGGACGTCAGTCATCGCGTTTTGCACTTCCACCAAAAAGAGAACCAATCCATCGAGGCCCTGGACGTCCCCAGGGTGGACCCTGGGCCATGACCGTAACTTCCCAATATACGAATCAATGAGAGTATGTGGGTTACCGTACTCCCGCTCAAGGGCACGTCGGGCCTGCTGATAGCCATCCTCTCCGAGATGAAGGAAGTTTCTTACTATCCGGTTTGGACGTCCTCGCGTGTACTGGTGTAAATAAGCCATTAGCTCACACTGGTCAGTAGTCTTGTTGACTACCCGCTTATCAAAAGACCTGACGAACAAACGATAATCCTGGACGTTACCAGAAAACGGCTCCAAAACTGACTGCGGCAGCAAGGAC